CCCCAAAACCCCAAAACCCCAAAACCCCATCATCCTTAATTTTCTTAACATGAAGAGGCAAATTAATTAATCTAGAAACATACAATATAAATTTATAAATTTCATGATGATATATCGGCTAACACTCCTAATAATTCTAACACTTACGATTTTCTTCTAGCCAGCACTACTTAAAGGTTCTAAGAAGAAGAAAAGCCTGAGTCCAGTGGAGAAAAAGCTTAAGAACTTGAAAGAGGAGTATAGAAAGACCAAATGCGCACATTTAGGAGATGAAATGGCCAGTTAATGCTACTACTACTACATTAGTCCCCACTGCTTCAAGCAGGTGTTTGGAGAGACTGGAGTTGAATGGGGTGAGTTTCTAGGGAATAAAGATCAAGATTATACTGATTGCTATAAGAAAATACAGACAGGTAAATGATGAAATAAGTTATTGGATTTATGAAGACATTAATAAAATATATTTAGAGTCATTAATGTCTGCTCTGGCGTCTGTACTGCATTCACTAATCATTATGCACCTCAAGATAATTCGCATCATTATATCAGTGATTAGTCTTAGTTTCTTCATTATCCTATTTCCTTCTAATTCCTACTGGTTGGGTTATTTCATAATCGTCCCAAGGTCCAAGTCCACTCTTCATACAACCTCCATACTCAGCACAAGTGCACTTACCACCTAAAAATTCTGGCAGATTATTCTCATCAACCAATTCTAATAAATCCTTTTGAAATTTTCCTCCTGCAATGGTGATCTTTTTTCTTGTCTTTTCGTCGATAAAACCTTTAACGATTGCCCAGACACCTGTGAATAGCATAGGGGCATTAACGATATACATCTGTCCCATAATCTCAGGATAGTAGTCAGAACCGACTTTAGCAGCTAGCTAGATGAGAGCGTAAACTTTCTTTGTCAAAATTTTCATAGAACCTCCATTAAGATCAATTATTGATAGACCCTATTCGATTCTATGACCTGCTACAGCTGAACAAGCTGGGAATCGCAGCTTGAGCAAAAGTTCATAAGATTATATGTAATGCTTCACAAGTCTTTCCTCAGTGGTAATCTTGAAGACTTCATCAATTTTCATTTTACCTTGTCTTTCAATATAAATTGGTCTGCCCTTTTTATCTATTTTATGATAGCCATGAGGATACACATTAAGTAATTCATTGATTTCACTGAATTGATAATTCTATATGATGTTTTAGTTATGATGTCATGCAGGATAAATGATACGAAAACTTGCGGAGAAACTCGATAATTCCCGTAAGGAAATAATTCTCAATACGAGGAATAAACAAGTTTCTCAAAACGGTAAAAGTCATTAATTTCTGATTTTTACTTACATCAATGATATTATCGACGTCGTTATCTCTTCTCCATGTGATGAAGTTGTTAAACATGAGTTTCGTTTTTTCCTAATCGAATTTTCTGGCTCTTAAGAATCTGAGTAGATAATAGTCATCATATTAGGGATGATCAGCAATATTGTTATTTTTTAAATATGTTCTGAACTCCTCTAAGCCCCTTTCTTGATCTTCACTCATATCACCCATAAATCTAAAAGAATAGGTCAAGGTCAGCCTCTTCATGATATTAATGCATTAGTATATCATTTATTAGGTATCAATAATTACCCTGTATTTTCGATTGCCTTTGATTTCTTTCCCCACATTTGAATACTTAAAATATTATTTATATATTGATACTTTTAAATCCTCTTCAATCTGAATATTTTTATCTTATGGGGTTTTGGGGTTTTGGGGTTTTGGGG